AAAGACAAGCTAAGCGGTTCATCTGTCCATCACAAGAAGCTTCAAAAAAGCTCATTAATCTAGGCAGGGAGGACATTCGAACTCTCACTGGGTACTTCACGGGACATTGTTCCCTGCGTTATCACCTCAGTAAAATGAATCTTTCAGACACGAGCGTCTGTCGCTTCTGTGAGATGGACGAAGAAACGCCAGAACACATCCTTTGTGAATGTGTTGCTCTCGCTAGACGCAGACTCGCTCACCTAGGTGGTACAACACTTAATCCATTCGAAATATGGAACAAAAAGCCCACCGAAGTGCTAGCTTAAAGGCAGAAACTTGAAATGTCCATCCTGATATGGATGTCAGACGAAAAAGATTGTGGTTTGAAAATATTTTGCAGAGGGTTGCCACCTTGTTACAAAGTTAGATTCAATATAAGCAATAGGTTAAATAAATTACTTCAATGTGAATATAAATCAAAATTGCTTTGAAGAAACTTTATTTCCAAACTGCATGTAGGAGTGTTGCAACCCGATTTTACAATTAAATTCAAATTGAATTAAGAGTATTAGATAATTTAAATATGTATCACAACACAAGTGTCAGACGAAAAAGGTTTAATGAGGTTTTGGTTTGAAAATAATTTGAACAGGATTGCCATCTGTTTGAAAAATTGAATTAAATTAAATTAAATGAAATATTAAAATATTGGCGTCAAACAGAGGAATATTAAAAAAAATTTGTTACAGCATTTATAACATTAAAGAGGGTTTTCACCTGTGTAAAAATTATCAAATTATTCAAATTATTGAATAAGTCAAATTAGTTACTAAAGTATGGGTATAAATTGACATGGGTTAAAGTTGTTTTTTCTTAACTATGTTTAAGAGGGTTGCCATATGTTTTAGAAATAAAATTCAACTTGAATTAAGGGAACTAGATAAACAATTTAAATATGTATCGCAATATGTTTGTCAGTCGAAAAAGGTTAAACTAGGTTTTGGTTTTAAAATATTTTGAATAAGATAAATCTGTATCTGTTTATACTGCGACCTTTTTGATTTTAATCAAATAATCCTTTTTAATGCCGGCTTGAGGTCAGGGTGCTACTGGTATTAAAACACATTCAAATACATTATTTCCCAATATATTTCAATCTCCTCCGGGGGCTACAACAATTACACAAGTGAGTATTTTGCTGTGCAAAAAGTCTTTGTGTCTGTCTAGTATGTGTTTTATATGTTTCGGTATGTGGTTGTCAATGGTAAATATGTAGTCGAGTTTAGTGGTGTTTTGAATGAACTTGGGTATAATCTTCGCTTTCCTACATTTTAATAAAAATCTTATNGGGCTACAACAATTACACAAGTGAGTATTTTGCTGTGCAAAAAGTCTTTGTGTCTGTCTAGTATGTGTTTTATATGTTTCGGTATGTGGTTGTCAATGGTAAATATGTAGTCGAGTTTAGTGGTGTTTTGAATGAACTTGGGTATAATCTTCGCTTTCCTACATTTTAATAAAAATCTTATGCTAGACTTTAATTTTGCCATCTGGATGGATTCGGTTTTAAACCTGTTGATGGCCTTTTTTGTCTTGTTGTCTTGGGTATTTTTGAGCTTTGCATAAACCATCCTTATTGGTGCTTATGTTTACGGCGTGCCTTCCGTGGTTAAGATAAATCTGTATCTGTTTATACTGCGACCTTTTTGATTTTAATCAAATATTCCCCTTTAATGCCGGCTTGAGGTCGGGGTGTTAATGGTATTAAAACACATTCAAATACATTATTTCCCAATATATTTCAATCTCCTCCGGAGATCGTCTTCAGGGGCTACAACAATTACACAAGTTTTTTATTAACATACAAGAAAAAGCTAACACATCAAAAACATACATAAATACATACATACATTAATTAAATTTTAGCTCCACGACGTCCGTCTCGTTTGTCGTGCAGTTTCGAACTAATATTACAAGTGTCCAGGACATAGTTGCCAACTTTGTGCTTTAAGCACTAGATTTAGTGCTTTTTGAAAATTAAAACGCCAAAAATAATGGTTTAGTGCCAAGTGCCCTTTTTAGTGCTTTTTTCTGAACTAAAATTTCTGAATTTAGAAGAATCTACAAATTTAAATGCACTAAAATGCAAACCATGATTGATAAAAATATGAAGTTGCAAACCCACGTTCTTGCGTTTTTGTTAAATTGTATTCGCGTTGAAAATGCTAGCACGCAGATAAGTTAAGTATTTATTTTTTTATTTTCTTGATTATTGATTGATTACATAGTTCGAAAAAATTTAACTTTTTTTGCCACCTGAGTGGAACCGTTTTGTGTAGATTTTTCGGCGCTGAATCCAAATCTAGCTGCAGAATTTCTCTACCACGTCAGCATTCTGAGATATATAGCCTCTAAGTGTAAAAACACGGTTTTTCGCAATATTTGAGGTTATATTATAAAACTACAAATTTTTTCGCTCATTTCTACTTGGATATCATTAAGTATTACTCTTCCCCTTTAAAATTCAATTTCGTTTGTTGCGATTCGATTGTTCCTTCTCCAGATGTACCAGTTTCGAAATATGAATGTGTATTTATTTATACATGTAAATATCGTTTATTTTTTTACGTTTGTTTACCACAAACTGTTATGAAAAAGATTATCCTTTGATAAAAAAAATTTAGTGCTTTTAGTGCGGTAAAACACTCTTTTTTCCAAGGTTTGGTGCTTTTCGAAACTGAAAAGTTGGCAACACTGGTCCAGCAGGTGCCTGTATAAGTAATTTATTTTAATCGTTATTTATTGAGTTCATACTAAAAACTAAACTCTAAACACTTCAATACGTCTTATATAAAATGCTGCCCTAACTGCTGTCGCTTTGTGTTGTTGTTGCATTCCTTTTTCATTTGGTTGTAAATATGTTGGATCAGCGGATCACACGGCTATAGCTATGTGCTGTATGTTTGTAGCCGCTCATCGTTGCATGTGTGTCACAGCGGCATCTTTTACAATATTATTATTGTCTTATTATTTGCTATAATTGTCTGCTTATGCTTTGCGAGTATGCTGAGTCAGCAGATCACACGGCTTTTGTTATGTGTTGTCTGCTTGTAGCCGTTGATCGTTACTTTGTTTATTATTATTAGCAGGTGTCATATTCGGTGCACTTGTTAAGCCGGCAATGCTGACTGTGTGCTAGGGTGTTGGGTTAACT